TTCCCATGCAAGTACCTTGGGTTGCCATTAACCATTAGGAAATCCAAGATAACACAATTATAGGGAATTGTCGACAATATTACAAGCAAGCTCCCGACTTGGAAAGCATCTTCTATGGATAAATCAGGTCGGCTTATTCTTGTTATATTCGTCTTGTGTGACATGCTGATTCACATGATGATGGCTTTGATGTACCACCCAAGGTGATTGTCAGCCTCATTAAGATCTGCCATGGATTCTTGTGGCTTGGTCATGCAGACGCGAAGGGTGGACAATGTTTGGTGGCTTGGGGTGTGATGTGCATGCCCAAGTGGGCTGGAGACTTCAGAATTCCAAACTTGAGATGGTTAAACTTTGCCCTACGTGCAAGATGGCTTTGGCTAAATCGTGTGGATGGCTCAAAGCCTTCGGTTGAGTTTAACATCCAGGTTCCGTCTGAGTCGCACACGGTATATAAGGATGCTGTCTTTGTGGATGTTGGAGACGGTAGGACCTCTTTATTTTGGGAGTGCAGATGGTTATAAGGCATGAGGGTTCATGACATTGCACCACACATATATGACCGTATACGACCGGTTGCCAGGCGAAGTAGAATAGTGGCATATGCACTTGATGAAGTGTGGCCCCAAGATGTTGGCCTAGATCTGAATACAGATGAGATACATGAATACTTTCAGCTATGGGACATCGTATCGATGGTTGATCTACCGAAAGGCATGGAAGACTATGTGAGATGGGCCTAGGAGTCGTCAGGGCAATACTCGACATGCTCAGCCTATGCGTCTTGCTTCTTTGGCCAGAGCACAATCTTGCTGCCATAGTAATATGGTGAAGTCGTGCTCCACTAAGATGTAAGTTCCTCGCCTGGCTAGCCATGAAGAATAGGTGTGGACATCAGATAGACTTGCTCTGCATGGATTACTGCATCAGGTTGGCATGTCCCCTCTACGACCAGGAGCAAGAAACTACCGATCACATCCTGGTGTCCTGCGTTTTCGCGAGATCGGTGTGGCATTTCATCTTAGACGCTTGGGGAAGGGCTCATTGGGCACCATCATCAATTGATACACTATTGCCATGGACTGCATCCCTTATGGTACAAGATCGCAGCATGAAGGACATGCACACCTTGCTACTTCTCATCGTGTGGCAATTGTGGAAGCACTGAAATGCAGTGGTGTTTCATGGAGCTACCCCTTTGATTGGAGAGCCGCGCCGCTAGAATTGCAACCAGGTTCTCCCCTTCTCGTCGCCACCAATCATGCTGGCGTCTCCTTTGATTTTAAGTCCGCCCACCTCTCTCTCTCTTTGTGTGTGTGTGTGTGTGTGCCGGATCCCCTGAGACTGCCTCCGCCATCGCCTAAGCCAGAATATGCTCGTACAGCGGCGAAGCTACCTCGAACATCCTCCTCTGCTCCTTAACCTAGATCTGACCAAGTACCTCGAACGATAGATCCTGAATCCTCTTGGCCTCTCGCTCCTCCGTCCTCTACCTAGATCTGAGCAAGCCGAGTCGAGAGCAGCTGTCGCTCCATCATCGCTCGCCAACTCATCGTGTGGCGGATTTGGGCAAGTTGCATCGACAGCAGAACACCCTAAAGGGGATCCGTGGCGGATTTGAGCAGCCGATGTGGTTGTGCGAGCGAAGTCGCGATCACCTCAATCAAGAGCACTTGTCCCTGTGCTAGATGTATGTAGTGACTTTGTTAATTTTGAAACTTTGTGCTACTTTCAAGCATGATGAAGGAGATATATTGTACTACATCGTTTATATATAGTATAATTTTGTAATGGAGATGTGCAACAAGATCTTCTATATTATAGAAGAAAAGGCAAGAATATTTTTTTTCTACCTTTAGAATGGGATCGGGTTTAGTACACTTCTAAAACATGTTCCAAAATTTTCATAAATGCAATTTGCAACGGGGAAACGTTTGGGGACGACGCACCGGCCGAGTTTGCGCCGGTCGCCCACTGCGTCACCACGCGTCCTCGCTAGCACGCGCTGCCTCCACCGCGTCCGCACATTTTCTTTGTGGGACCCACGCCTGTCCCTCCCTCTTTTTCCTCTTTCTCCTTCCTTCCTTATCCTCTTCCTCCCGTCATTCTCCTTCCCTCATTATCTTTCTGCTTCTCGCTGGTCTCATTTTTCCTCCATGGATCTCTCCTCCTGTTGACCACCGGCCTCCGCTGCTACTAGAAACCGGACATGGTTGTTCCGACGAAGCATCCGCACATCCTCCTCCATGCCATGGTCGTGCGCCACCTACCCCTTGGCCTCATGGTGCACTACTAGATCCCCAGCTTCCTGGCCGTGCTACAACCAGCGGTCGACCGTGCTACAACCGACGATCGAATATGCTGCAACCAGCGACAGTGAGATTGCGGCGGCGATGATAGTGCGCGATTTTTGCTACAACCAGCAACAAAAAAGCTAGCTCCGATGACATGATTTGCTGCAACGGCAATGATGAAGTTTTGTGGCGGCGACTGAGGTGTTGTGATTTTTGCTACAACCGGAAGCAGGAAAAGCTACCACCGACGGTCATTTTTGCTACAACTGGCAACGAAAAAGCTACCATCGGAAACGTGATTTGCTGCAACGGCCACGATGAAATTTGTGGTGGCGACGGCGGTGTTGTGATTTTTTGCTGCAACCGACAGCATGAAAAGCTACAACCAGTGTCACGTCTTGCTACTCCCGGCAAAACCCGACGAAGGTTGAAGCAAATTGTCGTCGCCGCCGTGACAGTCGACATGAATGGTTGTAGCAATTCCCGTCACCGGTCCTAGCAAAAATGAACAATGGTTGAAGCAAAATATATCTGCATGTGGATGATGAAGCAGAAAGGGATGGTTGGGCGTGGCCATGGCAACAGGGCTGCGGTGAGGGGCGCCAGCGGAGCTACAACCTGAGCTACACCCGTCGCTGCTGAGAGCTGCAACCGCAGGTGCGACTGTTTCATGGGTCGAGGCGACGATGAGGACGACCAGCGAAGGTGGGGACCAGCAACGAGGACGGCCGGCGAGGATGGGGACCAGCGACTAGGACGGCCGGCGAGGGTGGGGACGACGACGAGGACGGCCACCAGAAGGGAGACGAGGCGCACATCGAGCGGGAGATGTGATTCTAGCGAGAGGAAGAAGAAGCTGCGGGGCAAAGCGGTTTTTTTTCATCAGATCCAATCGCCCACGCAGCTCAAATCCAACAGCTCCGGCGCGACCGGCCGAACGGTTGGGCTGACGCACCGGCGCAGATCAATGCCCTTTGCAACGTAGTTTTTCTTTGTTTGAAAACTTGCAGGCTCACAATAATTGGACACCGAATTCACCTGTGGCGAATTAACGAGGAGGGGGTCCAGATCCGATATCCGGGATCAATCATGCACACTCACGCATGGTGTGTTGTTGTGTGGTGTGTGACTCCGCTCGCACCCTGCTGCCGCTGTCCGAGTCGCCGTGGGGCCAACGCTCTTGCACCAACTGCCCCGGCTGCTCCTTTCTTAAAGGCCACCGTCATGTCTGTGTCGTCGTCTCCCAGCTCAGCCGAGTCGTTCCAAACTTGCAGTTCCAACTTCAACCTCCTCCTCTCTCTCGCTCACTCCTATTTATTACAGTAGCTAAGCTTCCCTCTTCTCCTCCCCCCGAGCCCCCTTCCTTCCTGTTCCTGATCGCAGACACCCATTTCTTGCCGTTCGTAGAGCAGCAGCCAGCAGCCACCTCGCCTGTAAGTTCTCCGAGCTTCCTCTCCTCTCCTCTCTGCTCCCTATGCAAAGAAATATAAGAACGTTTAGATCACTACTTCAGCCATCTAAATGCTCTTATATTTCTTTACGGAGAGGGAGTACTTCTCAATTGGCTTTCTACTCTTTCTTCCTTGTGAATTGCGGTTCACCCAGTGTTTGATGTCCCAATTTTGGCTTGCGCCGTCCCCACTAACTAACTGAACTCGAGTCTTTGGCGACTAGCTCCCATCAGGATCAGATGCATAAACTCGGTGCCATTCTTTGCATAGGAAGAATTTCTTGATGGCGGCTATAGGGCCTAGGCTGGGGAGATTCTCTCTCCGTTACCCTCTTGCTCTTGGCAAATCTTCCAAAGTTTTATTTTTCCACAAAAAAATAGCAAGAAGAACATGGGCTTGGTGCTTGAGAATTCTGATCAGTTCGTCTTCCTTCCTTTGGTGGGTGTGGAGTGGAATATGCCACGCCCTGCGAGTATTCAAATGCTCTGTTTCTTTCAAAAACTCTACTGTATTCTTTCATTCAAAAAAGAATGGTCTGTTTGCAGTGGTGCGTGCCCAGTTTCATTCACAACAGACATCCTGTGCAGTCCAGATCCAAAAACACGAGGGTCTTATTATTCCTTTTGACCTCCAGTTGATTATTCCCGTTTAACTTGGCCTTTCGGGGATTTTCTCCAGGATCTTGTCTAGTACTAGTGATCTAAACGCTCTTACATTTGTTTATAGAGGAAGTACTAAACAACTCCACTACTCTACTCTGATTGACTTGTTGACACATCTTATTTTTGGGTTCAGTTCAGGGGTAGGTAGGTGTTCTTCTTTGAACCATTTTTTTTTCGAAAAGGGGATACCCCGGCCTCTGCATCAGAACGATGCATACGGTCTCTTCTTTCGAACCATGCATGTAACAACCTAATGCACAAGTGCGAAGTGCAGTTTTGTGTACGCAACTTAATGCATGGTCTGCTGGTTCCTCACTCCCCCATAACTGACTGCTCAACAGCATTTCAAAACTTCCATGGCCATGGGTCCGTTTTCTGCAGTGCCACGAGATGATAACTCTCTCTTTTTTTTTGGATATATCTGTTCATTAACGTGTAGTACAACCAAGGTGAGAAAAAACACGAGCCCGTCCTCATCTATTCCGTGTCTCAACTGTAGGTTTTCCACACAGGACAGTGAAACAAATTGGCGGCGCGTGGAAACGGAGCCACACGCCTGACCAGAGGTTTGGGAGAGGGGGATAAGGCAGGGGATGAGTACAACCAAGGTGAAGAGGCGTGTGGGCAAGTATGAGCTAGGGCGGACCATCGGCGAGGGCACCTTCGCCAAGGTCAGGTTCGCCAGGAACACCGAGACCGGGGACCCCGTTGCCATCAAGATCTTGGACAAGGAGAAGCTTCTCAAGCACAAGATGGTCGAGCAGGTCACTCTCCAGCGCCCACCTCACATTTAACCTTGTGTCATGCTCCTCAATCATCACTTCTTCTTTCCGGTCATATTTCATATCCAGTCGATTACGATGGGTCCTCCTGCCCCATCGCTGTATTTTCGCGGTACAAATCAGGCTGCCACTTTTGCCTGAATTTAGTACTCCCTCCGTTCACTTTTATAAGGCCTTGTAGACATTTCAGACAGCGTGCAAAACAGCTCAATTTCAATTGTCCGAGACGACTTATAAAAGTGAACGGAGGGAATAACTTTTGACGGCACTTTTTTGTTTGTCTTTTGCTGATGATGAGTAACTAACTATGTGGTGGAATCGCAGATCAAGCGGGAAATCGCAACGATGAAGCTGATTAAGCATCCCAATGTTGTCCGCATACACGAGGTAGCTCAAGGAATCGCCATTTCTATCTTGTTTTCGATATTCAGGTTAATCCTGTAATATTGTTCAGAAATGTGCATCATGTTATGTCTGGGGTCCATGCTAGTACAATACTACTCAAAGGCAGCTACCTCTTTCCAATCATGCACCTCAACCATAAAGTTGTTGTCAGAAATATTGGACGCAATTATTTGACATGTCTGTTTTAATTTCATCAGGGGAACTGCTAATATTATCGAATTAATTAATGTTCTCCTCGATTTTCCAGGTGATGGGAAGCAAAACAAAAATCTACATTGTTTTGGAATATGTCACCGGGGGCGAGCTCTTTGACACAATTGTAAGTGATGTGCTACAACCTAAGTTTCCTGCTTATGCGCTGATGCAGCTTGCTTATCTTCAGCAAACACAGGATTACAACATATACCGTTGTTAATTATGTGCTGACGGTTATTGCGTCCCTTGTCGTAAAGGTTAACCACGGCAGAATGAGGGAAGATGAGGCAAGGAGATACTTCCAGCAGCTGATTAATGCTGTTGATTATTGCCATAGCAGGGGGGTGTACCACCGCGATTTAAAAGTGAGCTCCTCTCTATCTGTGCTGCCTGTTTCCCTGTCGTTATGAAATGTGAACCTAAACCGAAATACTTGCAGCCAGAAAATTTATTACTTGATTCATGTGGAAATCTAAAGGTGTCTGATTTTGGGCTGAGCGCGCTATCTCAGCAGCTCAAGGTACGGGTTTATTATTGCTTCATGCACTCCTAAGTTATCATGGAAGTTTTCGGACTTCACACTTTTCTGTAAGCAGATAATCATGTTCCTTTGATGTTCAAACACTCTCATATATTCATTCTTCCTATATATTTTGGAATATTTTATTATTTATTGTTGTTCAGGATGACGGATTACTGCACACGACTTGTGGCACTCCAAATTATGTTGCACCAGAGGTAATTTCAGAAATTTGTAGAAACTGGACAACCAATAGTTTTTGACATTAATTTCTAACCAAGTACCACAATAATGCAACTACCGACAGGTCCTCGAAGATCAAGGCTATGATGGCGCAATGGCAGATTTGTGGTCATGTGGAGTAATTCTGTTTGTTCTGCTAGCAGGGTATTTGCCTTTTGAGGACTCTAATCTTATGGCCTTGTATAAGAAAGTGAGCATTGAACTTCTTTTGGTTTACTGTTACGGTCTTGCTTGTTCATGCTGATTTGATTTTTCTCTATTATTCCTTGCAGATATCAAATGCAGAGTTTACGTTTCCGCCTTGGACGTCTTTTCCTGCCAAGAGGTTGTTAACAAGAATCCTTGATCCCAATCCGATCACGGTATGGTAGAACACAAGATCTCATTGAACCAATACTTAGATAGGAAAATCTCCTCACACAATGCATCCAGTACGGTTGCAGATAGCATGCCGTCAGTTCCATTCATCAGCCTATCAATATTCCAAGTTCTGTTGTGCTTACTAATAAACACACCAGAGATGGTGTTCAATCAGGGACTAATAATCCCACATCTTGCTCCATAATATCAAGCTAATATTTTGACAAATTGTGGCAGAGAATAACAGTTCAAGAAATGTTAGAGGATGAGTGGTTCAAGAAAGGTTATAAGCGTGCGGAGTTTGATGAGAAGTATGACACAACACTGGATGATGTGGATGCTGTCTTCAATGATTCAGAAGTAAGCCCATGGCTATATGCAAGCTCTTGCATTTCTGTTTCTACCAAATGCAGAAGATCTCTCGTGGGTTCGGTATTACTAACCAGTTTTATGACTCTGGTTTGACTTCCTCCAGGAGCACCATGTAACAGAAAAGAAAGAAGAAGAACCAGTAGCTCTGAATGCATTTGAACTGATTTCAATGTCAGCAGGCCTCAATCTTGGAAATTTATTCGACTCTGAGCAGGTAAGATAACATCCTAATAGCAACATAAAACTTGGGAATTTGCGATGCGCGATTACTTAACTCACCATGGTTTTAAAGTTTTTTACTGATATAGCCTTAATCATGTGTGAAATATGCACTTGATTTTATTATAAAGTATCTCTAATTCGGTATCTCAGTTAGTACATTGAATCAGGGAAAGCTATCAGTTAAATTTATATGCCTATGTAAATATAAGATCTTCAGACCTTTTTTCACTTAGAGCTTTATGCACATTTCCTGTTACGCATTTATGATTTCGAAATTTCATTCTTCTATACTCTAACATCGAATAACTATAACGACAGGAATTTAAAAGAGAAACAAGGTTTACATCTAAAAGCTCGCCTAAAGAAATTCTCCGCAAGATCGAAGAAGCTGCAAAGCCTCTAGGATTTGATATTCAGAAGAAAAATTACAAGGTCTGCCACGCAAAGCTTGGTTTAATAACAGTCCACGCTATTATTTTTCTTAAAAAAGATCTATTGATATTGTATATGAGCCTGAAGTATATTTTTTTCCTGAATGTTTAAATCCTTTTTTGTTTGATCAGCTGAGACTAGAAAAGGTAAAAGCAGGAAGGAAGGGGAACCTCAATGTTGCTACCGAGGTAATGCAGAGAATATGCTGAACTGAATCCACTTTGAAGTTAACTTCTTCAGTTTAACTTTATCTGCGCAATATCATTTAGATACTGCGAGTCGGACCTTCTCTTCATATGGTTGAAGTTCGCAAAGCAAAAGGCGACACTCTAGAATTTCACAAGGTAAACTATCAGGCCATATGGCTTGGAATTAGAGCCTGTCAACTGAGAGGTGCACCGATTCCTGCTTCTACGACATCAGTAATCTGGACTCGATGAGTTACCAGGATTGTAAATTGTGTTTTGACCTCTTTTCGCCTTTCCCTCGCCAATCTGTACTGATATGCATAAATCTTGATATTGTGGTGCAGTTCTACAAGAACCTTTCAAACACCTTGAAGGACGTTGTTTGGAAATCCGACGATCTTCAGATCCAACCTTCCTAGCAGCAGCTTGGGAGAAGGGGGGATGGGTAAACTATTAGCATCCCATTCTTCCTGAGTTGATCCATTCTCAGGAGCTGGATCAAGATAAATTGTTCACCACATTTTGTAAGTACCGGTGGATATCCCTGTTGTCAGCTGTGCTTGTCCTCCACTGGTGTTGTATATGCTGCATTTTGAGAGACTTCTTGGAGCATTTTAAGTCAAGCACAATCAAGTAGGTTTTGGTGTATATTAGGCATGTGGGTTTTCGCAAGTCGTATCGAGTTCACTTTGGAACAATGCAATCAGGAATTCGCAAACATTTAGCCGAATATGCTTGTAAAGTCGCACCGGCCGGTCATCATTTCGTTCCCATTGTAAATTGTGAGACCATGGAAGTTAATTTCTTGTTTTTGCCTTGTTACATACACTTGTTCCTTCAGCTGTAAATCAGAACTGAAGGGTGAAACAAAAAGCCTGAATTTTCAGAGGATGATACATGAGGGGATGCAGCTTCCTCGTTTGTCCTTGTCCTTGTTTCCTTGTTCCGGCGGGGGATCTGCATCGCCGTCGGTCTTCTCTCCTACCATCTCACGGCTGTTTTCCTGTGACTTCCGCCGTCTGCCATTTGCACATGACACGAGCAACATGCAGTGTGAGATAGGAACACATAGCATTCTGGTAGTATCATATATACATTGGGTTCATGCTCATCGTCGTTTCGGTTAAAGATGCTGCCTTGCAAGTGCAAAAGATAGGAGAAAGATGAAGAAGGTTTTGCCTATGAAGACTAGTAAACTCAAGTTGCATGGTGGGAATCCCAGTAGGAACCGATCCAAAGAGGGAAAGAGGGGGGAGTGGAGAACTGAAAGTGGAGTGAACGGCCCAGGACCGACCCGCCCCCGCATCGCTCCGCTTGAGGCGACTCGGGAGGCGACGAAACCCTAGCCACCAGTCCTCCCACCCCTCCTCCTTCCCCCCTCGTCGCCGCCTGAGGAGGCCTCCGGCGAACTCCGCGTGGCCACCAAGGGCGGCGGCAACGAGGATCTAGCTGCTCCCTCGCGGAGGGCTTCCGACGCCGTCTTCTACAGCGAGCGGTGTCGTAGGTGTTGCTCCTATGTCTCCTCGGCCGCGTGGGCGGCGAGGGACGGCGGGAGTTGCCGCCGGTCGTAGCGGGTGGTGCGTCCTCCTGGCTCGCGTCCG